AACTTATATAAATTATCTTATTAAGAAGATAATTATATTTTATCAGAAGTAATTCTTGCATATATTATCTTATTGAGAAGATAATTAGTCATATAATCTCTTGAAATTATAAAAGTAAATAACTGCTATGAACATAGTTACTATTATCATTTTAAAATAATTACATACATATAATCTTTAAAATAATAATAATATTATATTTTATCTTGTTTATAATCATTAACAAAATAATCTTACAACTTGATAGTAATGAACATAATTATTATAAACATCACTCTCTAACATCTTACTACATGTATCACACATATTACACTAAAGATGATAATCATAATTACTATTTTGCAATACTTATATTGCAACTATATATTGTAACTTATTAAAAAATTTAATAAAAATTACAACTTATCATAACTTATTACAAGTTATAACTTATTACAACTTACAGAGAAGAGATAAAACGTTAGAAGAGGAACAAAAATCATTAGAGTACAAAAAAACCATCTTGAACAGATGACTATCACCTTGCTTTTGATGGTAATGTTATATCAAATCGAATTACCAAAAACGAAATTTAAGTTAATCTTTAAAGAAAGACGAATTTAGTCAAATTTGACTCCGTTTATTTCTATTTTTATATTAAATATTATTTACAATTCATCTTTGACGTGAATTTGTGATGTAGGGGATGATGAAGGCGATTCGGTTGATTGTTTTATCGACTCCAATAATGATGATGATATTGTAGATAATTTTTCACTTTGTAGAAGTTCTTGGTTTATTACATCTTGATCATTTTCTTTCTCTTTCACGTCTTTTAATAAAGGCGCTGGAATTATCGTCGAGATAATGATCTTTTCTTCCTTTTGTGAGATAGTGGTGTCTTGTTTTAGTTTGGTCGCAATTCTCGACGCAAACGCAGCAACTTCATTATCGTATGTTTCCCATTCGGGAACTTGACGTTTTGCACGATCAAGTTTTGGTTCTTTTGTCATTGGATTATTACACTAGAAGCACGGCATGTGTAAATTACAAACAGATAATTTCGGAAAAAATTTTACTCAAGACACTTACCAAATCGATAGTCTTTGCTTTAGCCAACGACTCATCACTGCACCAAGTCTCACACCACAACCATTCTTGAGGCAATGAGAAAATTGGGACTATATGTTGCATATTATTGGGAAGATCTTGGTCCAGATTTGCTAGTGAATTAGGATCGGCGCTAAGCGCTTGGTACTGGCCACGAAGCCTGTCGCCTGCTGCCATTAGACGAAATCGGTGTAAATCTATAACGTAAAGCGCACTGTTTAATCAAAATCAATAATGTTAATAAATTCAAGAAAATTATAATCCTTATAAATTATTAAAAACTAATATCAGAATATATTACCTAATATGATACGGTTTTCCCTGTAAATGTTCCTTCCAATATCCTTCTTTCCAGAACCGGAATCCGTCCATCTCTGGTCTATTATCACAGAAGGGAGTATATCCGTAGGGAGCACCATGTAAATCCATATCCACCAATTCCTTCAAATCTGTACGCACTATTTGGTCTGCATCGACGAAAATCACTTTATCTAAGTCTAGTGGGAATAGAACATCTAAGAATAGAATTTTGTAGCTGCAATGTAGATTTTAAGTGTAGAGAGAGGTCAGCTGTGAATTATTTTAACATTTATTCGAATGTTTACATATATTTAATGTAGGAAATAAAATTTTACCTCCAAATCGTTCTTTGCTTTTCGGTCTGTGCGCGTAACCAATGGGGCCACTTGTACGTCACTAACTCATAATCGAAATTGTATTCTTGTGCCATATGAGGTATAAAGTTCTGTAAAACAATTGAATAACGAGGAATATCAGCTAACCATAATAAAAAAAAATTTAATTTATAAATTAAGCTTACTTTAAACGAAGGTGACAAAAAATTTTCAATAAACCAAAATTTCACTCTACTATCCGTATGCCGAAGCACACTAACGATCATAATGGACAAGAACCGTTCGTACAAATGTCCGGATGCTACCGAGAAAATATTGATGACCGCCTTTTGTTGTTGCTGTTGGTGATCGTGTTTGGATTTATATGAAAATCTATTAAAAATTCATCGAAATAACCTTTGATGAGATTTTTATTCCGCAATTAAGGCATCAAAGAATAAAAAACTATAAATAACTAACTTTGACTTTATATAGCCCCATAATCCATCTCCAGATTTGTCATCTTCCTCGACACCACCTTCGTCATCGGCAGCAACCAAAATCTCTTCGTGTTCTTTTCCAGGTTTCCGTTTAACTCTCGGATAAATCAACCCACCTTCAAAACTATACACGAAAATAAAGCTTCCAATTTCATCAACCGTTCGACTATACCATCCTTCGCTGCCGACACTCTCAATCTCAAAAATTTCGGTTGATCTACCCTCACGAAGTCCAAGGCTCCAAACGCCCGGGTTAGCTTTCAATTGGAAATAGCCAAGATTGGCCATCACGATCGTATCCACTAGTGTCGGGTTGCTCTTTGTGCCAAGCACCAGTTGTAGACCACCAGGCGGTTTATTAGAGGTGATATCTCGTGCGTGACCTTCTATTAACAGGTTTTTTAGTTCGAATATTGATTCAACACCTCGTTTAGTGTTTGATATGTCTAAATTTTTTAGTTTTATGTTGTCAAGGTCGTGGATCGAGGATAATGGTGTTACTAGCCATGCTTGAATTGTGTCCATTCCTAATGTTAGTAGTGGATCTTCGGGCAGTCCATTAAATAAGGCAGAAGGTGGAATTGGATTTCTTTTAAATTATAAATATTAAATCAATTCTTATATTACTGAAAATAATATTGATAATAATAACAATAACTGAATGAATTCACTATCTCTCACCCATTAACATCAAATTTTATCCTCGTATCCAATACATAACGGTAAAACCGCTTTAGCGGTAATTCCGTCAGCGATAAATGTGGATTCATGTATATATAAATGTGTACGCCTTCTATCTCAGACAATGTCTAGCAATTTTAGCGGAAAGTAAAATTTATTTTTTAATAACAAATAACAAAATTTATATAATATTGACTTTAATAGGCTACCTTTAAAATAATAGACCATTTTTGTGCCACCTCGCTCACAGGATCAAGAATCACACCTATTTGAAATAAGGCAGTTTCAATATTCCCTATTTCGAATCGACTAAAATATCAAAAAATCCAATTATTAATAGCAATTCAGTAATTTAGTCACATTCTTGCACAATAAATCCCCCCAAAAAAAGAAATCCAGTCTTACCTATATTTTCCCAACATCTTAAGATACGGACGATCACGTCTCACTTCCTCAGTATCCATTATTCCTGGTGGAACATCCGAAACGGCGGACGCTGAGACGATGGAAGTTGCTTTCATTACAAAGTCGGCGTACTTTTTTGACTTTGAGTTGCTATCAGTATCGCTGATACAAAGTGTTTTTTTTGGAAATGAACATTAATGGAATAAATAGGATAAAAATAACAAACACTTGAAAATTTAATTCTTACCTCTCTTGTTTTTCAAGTTCCTTAGTAATGTTCAACGACGAGATAACATCAAGAAAAGGAGTTACGCGTTCCACAAGCTCCACTTCAACCAAAAGAGCCAAATCCTCAAAAGTGAAAATTTCTTTGTGAGATAAAGGCCCAATAATCTATAATGAAATAATTCTCAAATTAATACATTTTTACATAAAACATCTTTACATATTCATAATATATACATACCCGTCCATTTACAACAATCCCAATATCACCACCCGCAAATTTTAACGAACTTTTTAATAAAGGATAAAGTCCGTGCCAGAAATTACTGGCTTTTACGCGATCAATAGTTTGCCATCCAGTTATTTTTTCAATATTTATTTCTTTAATGACGGGTGAAAATCCATCAGCTCCGTCATTATTATTGTTGCTATTATTGTTGACTATTTCTTCAAATATCTCTCTAAGTAGTTTACGAGATTCCAATGAAGATAGTGCCGACAAAGAAGTGTCTTTATCTTGATCATGTAATAATGAATATATTAATGTGGGAATACTAGCATTACTATTGTTGCTGCTATTGGAATTTGATGAAGAGGATGGATTGTGGAGTAGGGTTAATCTGATATTCGAAAAATTTTCCTGTGTGATATACAACAAATATAAATCATATTATAATATTTATCGAAGAAATGAAAAATGATATAATTACCAGAAATAAAAGTGCTTCTAATCCTTGCTGGACTCCTGATAAGGTTTCAAAATCTGCAATGATCCAAACAGATATTGGGATGCTTGAAGTAGAGTTATCAGTATCCTCTATAAAAAAAATAAAAACGCAAAGACAAAATGGTATTATTCATTTATAAAGACTACTGCACAATTGCGTCAATCAATTAAATACCTGAAACAATATACCCAAAAGCATCAATACTCGTGATTTGCCTTTTTCCCTCTTGAATATTATCTTCAAAAATGACAACCTTGGAGCTACTACTGTCCATTGCAGTGACAAGATTCAAAACTTTTAATGGTTTCGCTTCAGTCACGAAAATATGAGGGTTTCTTCGTGAAGGAACGTTTGGTAATGAGAGTAGAAAATCGTATACATTTGTAGTATCGTCAATATGACCGTGATATACCTTATTATTTATAATTTATTTAAATTAGAAACTTTGAAAGAATAGATACAAAGAAATCCGGTTCTCTTTATGTTACTCACTTTTTGTTGCAAATATTGCGTGTGTTCGGCTATTGTCATTAATAGGTTTCGTTGATACAACTATATATCAAGAATTAAAATAAGAATTATAATCAGAAGACATATTACATGACTCTAGCTAATAAGCTATTGTAATTTACCTGATCAAGCTCAAAATGCCTTCCATTAACAAACATAGCTCCTCCATTGCCACCATAAATTTCCGGCAAAAGATTAAACCGTTTAATATAGTTTGCAGCATTTCTTAATTGCGTTCTAACTTCATTATTAATATTATTATCGTCATTGATTATTTCATCGAACGATAAGAATTTATTGTTATTTCCATCATCATCTTTTTCCTCTTTGTTGTCGCCGTCATTAAATATCTTTGGTATAAGTTTTTTAAAGATTGACTCGTATTCTTTGCGGGCAAAGTCGCGGATATTTCTTTCTGATTGTGAATGCATTAATCTTTCTCGTACCTTTTTTTTGTTTCGATATGTATAATTTAGTAAAATGGGATGAACTTTGGATTTTCATTTTATTATATTACCTTTGCGAAAAATAAAAGAACAGAACCACGATCGTACCGATTAAGAGTATAGTAGAAAAGTTTTGCCATGATATATGCTAATAATAAATAAAAGAATCAAGAAAATTATTGATCATTAAATTGTTATTTTTGTTTCATTCGCTAACTTATACTCACAATCACACTGACGATCTCCATCGAAAAAAAGCGGAACCATTCCGAACCGTATCGGAAGTTCGCGATTCACAAAAGTATTAGATTCATCGATCAGTCGAAGTCCTTCTTCGGTCGAAAGATCAACTACATAGAGTACGGAAAATAAATTTTTTCGAAGGTAATATAGGTGGCCGGGGAATACGGGACGGAGGAGCTATACCAATAAATCCAGAAAATGCAATATAAAATTAAAGATGGAAAAAAGGAAAATAAATTTTGCGTATAAGCTCATACTTCTCTAATTCGATTGGGCCAATCCGCATACCGTTCATCCTTCTCCAAATCATTCCACCATACAATCGTGGTACCGCTCTTTGACTTGTCACGTACATCAAACATTCCTTTCATGGCACTTTCTGTTGGTTTAGATTTTGCTAATATCGGAGAAGTAAGCAGATCAATCGAATTTTTATAGCTGAGTCCAAGGCTTTTTAATGAGAAGATTGTTTGCCGTTCGCGTCGTAATGCTCTTAAAAGACTGAATTTTCGAGTTTAGGTATGTAAACGGAGAAGACAATAAATACATGAATAGGTTTCAAGGAGAAAGAAATCCAAAAACATACCTAAAAGGATCGACAGAATCAATCGGAAACGGCATCCCATTAAGCCAAAACGCATTTGCACCAGCAGCCACATGAATCTGTTGATTCTGATGAATTTCTGAGGCCAACGATTTATTATTACTCAAGGTTATTTTAGTCACGATTGAATGTGAATATTTTGGAAAATCTTGCGCAAGAGTGACAAGTGTCGAAATTGGATTCTGAGAGGATAAAATAAACTGTGTGGCCTTAATTCCAAGATCTGTGTAAAAATTGATTTTTTAATTCTTTTTCTTTTTCGTTATTCATATTTTCTGCTCAAGAAAAATAAATCAGATACCTTTGATTTCATTGACTTTAAGATGCTTTATTATTGCAGAATCTTCGTCAAAAAGATTCTCATTTACAGAATTCGAATCTTTATTGTTAGGACCATCATCTTTATTATCATTATTATCACTAGCAGAATCTTTTGACGATTTTTTTACAGTTTCAGCGTCAGTTTTTGATGTTTTCTCATCATCTGCTGAATTATAAGATTTAATATTGATTAATTGTAAGCATGCTATGCACATACATATATATGTGTATATTTAGAAATATCAAATCATATATAAATACCGGTTCCAACTTTCCGATCATCAATAACAAGATAATCTGTATTTTTTAATGCCAATTCCACACCATAACCAGCAAGGTACAAAGTTCTTTCATTTTCTGATGGCAATGACGGTGGCTTATACCTCAAGACATAACGAGCCAATTCTTGTTCAACTAATTCGACCAGCAATTCATGAAAATTAGCGAATTCAGGTGCCAAAATACTGGAAATGTATAGTATTATTGTCGGGACTACGTTCTCAGAGTTTTTGTCGGTTGGAGATCGGGATGATTCTAGAATGTGGTCGAAAGGAAGGAGTTCTGGTGGTGTTTTTCTTTCGTTGTAATATTAAATAATATAAATAAATAATAGCTTACTTA